ACACAGAATGATCACCAAGATCAGAGGTCATATCAAAATTATTAAACATTGGCACAATTATTTTAAAATGTATTTGATCCAAATCTGAATTATTTCCTGATTCACATCGTTCTTTGATATCAACAGTTAATTTAATGGGCGCACTCAAAATTGTTGGTATTTCAGTTATTTGATCACATGATGCATTCATGATAGTAACATGATTCTCTAAACTAGGTGGCGTGCTCAAATCAACAGGTAACTCAACACATGATGTATTTAAGTTAATTAGGCATGCATCATCTTATGTGAAATTATATCATCAATACCTTTAGTGTTACCTTGTCGCAAAGATGTAGCTGATGTAGGTATGGACAATGGCAATATACCATACACTTGAGATGATGTCGCACTCACAATCTAAGGTGTGACTGCTCTATAAGGTGCAACGATGGAGGAATCAACCGATGGTAGTGAGCATGAATTGGAATAGTAATTGTTGAAGTCACCCAATGCATCCTCCTATAACTGTCTCTCAAAGGTACAAGTATGAACATACATACCAGTAATGCAGCAAGGAATGTACTGAAATCTTGCCTGAATATCATGGTTCAAACCACCAAAAAATTTATTCATTGTATCATCCTTAGATTCTTCTATGTCACAATGATGCATATAAGATTTGAACTCTTGGTAGTAAGCATGAACAGTGTTGTTGCCTTGTTTAAATTGTTCAAATTTGCGAAGCAATTCACGACGATAGTAAGTAGGGAAAAATTGTTGTCTCATTACATCTTTCAAATCTTTCCAAGTTGTGGGTTGGTTATCAATGTTTTTCTTACAATGCACACTCCACCAAACAGAAGCAAAACCAGTAAATGCTCTAGTGGCAGCTCGTACTCGCTCAAGTTCAGAAAAGTCATGGTGACTAAAAACTTGTTCTACTTCAAGCTCCCAAGCAAGATAAATAGCAGGATTAAATCTACCCTCAAATGACGGTAAAGAGATAACCTGACCATGTGCTTGTGTGTGTTGTCCCAACTCTCGTGATGGTGGAGATACCACTTGATAGTGGCTAAGGTGTCCCGTCTTTCGATGAGATGATGGATATAGATTTGGTGGAAGTCGACTTTGACGATCCGACTACGAACGTTCGAGGACGTCGCACCTTAGCAATCGCTAAACCAACTCCGAGAGGTTATTGACCACGCCAGAGCACGATCAACCTGACCACGAGGGTCTGTTTCCCACGAGCAAACGAAGAACAAGCAAGAAACTAAGATTGCAATCTGGATATTGTGAATATAAGATGAAAGCTTTATTGATCAAGGTGGGGTTTTGTGACGCCTTTGTCTGGTCGTTGAACACAAACGAAGTACGCGAAGTTGCAGCTATGGCGAACTTTTAATCTAAACAAAACTCAAGGGAAAAGCTACTAGATGGATCTACTTATGTAGGAGCAAGGGGTGGCGGCCAAAGAGGTGGGAGGACGTCCCAAGGCAGCCTAAAACTAACCCTAGGTCGTACAAAACCAATGGGCCCAAGTGGAGGTGATGTAACACCTTTGGACTTGTAGTTTAACTCAGATTCTGCTGCAGCATCAGATTGTTTCGTCCATAACTCAACTCTCCGGACGAATTTGAAGGTGAATCCAATTAGGTTGGAAAGTGCACGAAATCTAGTTTCCAACCAAAAAAGAATCACCCAATTTGAAGTCCGTATGAAAAAGTTGTTGGCGTTTTGAGTCAGGTATGTTTGTGCAGTCCGAATCTGAATCCAGAACGTGAGAGACTTGGACTCTATCTTCTCTTGGCCCAAAAGTGACGTCTTGAACATCACCTAAACTTCTCCTTTTCCCTTATCTTCATATGTGGATTGTACAAATGTCCCATACACCTGCAATTAGACAAAACACAAAAGTGTGTGAAGTATTTTTGTTCTGGATAACATAAATAGATTATTGAATAGTTTGCACTAGAAATCACCTGACAAATATGCATGCATGCAATATTTTTAGTCTTATCCAAGGTAGTCATGTCCTCATCACCCGTAAAATTCCGGCGACTATAAGGGTTTGGCCCTTTTTTTGGGCCAGACTAGACCCCGTATAGTCGCCCTGGCCCATAAAGCGTTGAAAAACACCCCTCGTGCATTCGTGCAGTATATCTATGGGTCCAGTGCCGCTATACGGGGTGAAACCCAATCCCCGCCGCCGCAATCCCTCCTTTCCCCTCCAATTTCTCACCGCCGGCAATCCAAATCCGCCGCCCCACTCTGCTACCGCCAACGGATCTGCCACCATGCGGCTTGAGATGTGGAGCTCCGGTCGTGGCGCTGACAGAGGCGAGGACCCCAAGCGGAAGCGCTGGGTAGCCACCGACGCGGCGAGGAAGCGGTTCGCCCGGCGGTACACGAACCGGGGCCTTGAGCCGCCGCCGTCCCTCCTCCGTCGCGAGACAGAGGAGTACGACTTGTGGTAGGCTCGACTCTTCGGCGCGGGTAGCTCCTCCGACGCAAGTACCTCGCGCACGCCGCTGCCATTGGTCAAGAGGGAGGCAGAGGAGCTCCCATGGCTCCACGAGGAGGGAGGCGGGGGAGCTCCCGCCGCTCAACGCGGTGAAGAGGGAGTCCGAGGTGGAGGAGCCGCGCGTCGACATCGTCGGGCCGGAGGACTACCTGAGGCGGACGCCATCGAGGCAGTGATTCTCGAGCGCAGTGCGTGGGAAGAGGCGCAGCTCCGCCACCGGGACAACGAGATCAACCAGCTCCTGTACGAGCAGGGCCTCGCCAAGGCGCGGGAGTTCGACGAGAAGATGGAGGCGTGGCCCCGCGAAACCGACACGCAAGGCTCCATGTACATCGACCTCACCTCCGACGATGATGATGAGTGATCGGCGCCACGCCGCAGCGTCGCCGCTGCACCCGGAGGGCTCCAGTGAGCCCCATTTTGGGCACTAGGGTTAGGGGTAGGCGGCCTCCTCTGATCTAGTCTATGTAAAAATCAACTATGTATGGATCATCATGTATCTATGGATGCACCTAGTTCTAATGTTTGTGTTCTTCTCTCGCGCGAAATTTTATTTTCAAATTTTAAAGGTCCATTTGAGGTTTCTGTTATGCCACAACTATTTTCAGCCCTTATCCGAGCGAAAGCACGAACTGTAAACCCTTTATAAGGGCTAGCCTTATAAGGGCTGCTAGAGATGCTCTTAAAAGGTGTAAATGAAGAGCGTTCCGTAAACAAATCAGTGTCTTGTTTGAATCAAGAATAGCAATTCCATTTGTTGAACCACGACCGATGAAATTAAGCTCCCTATCATAGCCGAAGAAACTAAGCTCCCTATTCATAGATCTGTGCCTGACTTTATCGAGTTTTTTGACGCGAAGGCTTTCATGGCTAGCTTTATTAATTTCAAATAACACTTACATCATCCAGTAAATAACGAGAGATAAAACTAGGGTTCAACCACATCTAGGTAAGGGCATCTTCAATGCCGACCCGCAATTTTTTCATGCATCCGTCCGCATGGTTCTTACAAACAGGACATGCACCACGTCCTCCGCGCGGTGCTTACAAATAGGGCATTGCGTTGATGTGGAGATAATAGATTAGCCAGAACATCGAGGAATGGTAGAATCTGTGGATGAAGATTTTCACTTTACTTGGTACTTTCAGTCTCCATAGTTTCTTCCATATAGTATGAGGCGACAAACCGCTTGAGATAGAAGAACTAGGACTCAGACTGGCATAGGAATCTTCCCATTGTTTACAGTAGGCCGAACAAACACCAAAAACTCTAATTTTTTTATTGCCATGCAACATGATCCTCTGTGTCCTATCGATGTGTGGGAATTTGCAGAATAAGTTCATCGTATATGTGCCAAAAATTCTTCCTAATCAAACTTCCATCCCATACGCCAATAATAGGGTCAATAAGCTCGTGAACTCTAGTAAGCACTCTGTTTTCATAGACTGCGATGATTTTTCAAGAAGAATTTTTTTAGGATCTAACAATCCTCCCAAATATTTATCTTCAAGCCATTACCAATTCCCCAAGTACTCCCTCTTTAAAAGGTATGAACTCCAGCCAAATGCTCTGCTAGACATAAGATGAACCCTTTTTTAACTCACAATTGAGCAACTCATCAGAGGGGGAGTACTTTGATCGAAGCACTCTTACACAATCATGATGCTCAATGAGCCTCCAACATTGTTTAGCAAGCATTGCCAGATTAAAACTGTGCATATCACGAAAATCCATGCCACCTCTATCCTTTGGGACACACATTCTTCACCATGCAAACCAATGCATTTTACATCGGTTTTCCATGTCACCCCACCAATAGTGCAAAATAGGATCAGTGATCCTCTTGCAAATTTTCTTCGGGAATTTGAATACGTTCATCGCATACGTAGGGATGGCTTGGGCCATCGCTTTAATCAGAGCCTCCTTACCATCATAAGATAAAGTTCTCTCTTTTTCATCCATCGATAATTTTCTAAATTGTCTCGATAAGATGTTTAAAATAATCCACACTATCCACCATAATTATAGAGGGAAGGCCCAGATATTAATCAGAAAGAGAAAGAGACTCCGTCATTATATCCATAATTTGGCATACCTCCACTTTTGCATCAACATTTGTATTGAGGCTGAAATAAATACTCCAAAAACATTCTTATATTTTGGGACGGAGGGAGTAGATGATTTAGGACCCGTTCGGTATCACTCCACTGCGCGGCTCCGCTCCGGGAGCAGGCGGAGCTGTAGCTCAAAAACTTGGAGCGAGCAAACAGCCACTCCACAGATTCTCGGAGCCGGTGGATTACCAAACATGGCCTTAGCCACACCCACCATTTGTGGCAAGGTCATAGTATAATCATCCAGAATCCTTTTTAACGTGTTTGCATTTTCAGCATCCGTCCTCATAAGCATCAAAGAATCATCGACAAAAGGTAAATGTGAAATTGGAAATTCCCCACGGTTCGTTCATCTGTTTCGCTGCCAGAGCGGGCCCGCATGCCAGCAGCACAGCGAGATTCCCAAGTGCACGTGTGCATGTGCTCACCATCCACAAGCACACACACGCTCGCGCACGCACGAGTGGCGGGAGCGGAAGCCATGCCTCCCCTCCTCCTCCCGGCCTCGCCGTCGCTATCGCTACACTTCGCCGGTGCCGGTGCCGCTACCGCTGCGTCGTCCTCCCGCCGCGCCATGGTCGCTGTGGCGTCCGCGGCGTCCAGGAGCTCGTCGTCGTCCTCGTTCGACGCGTCCGCCTTCGAGGCCGAGCGGCTCCGCCTCGACGCCGACGCGCGGGCCTCGATGGTGACCACCGCCGCGGGAGCGCAGGCGGAGGCGGACCCGAGGGCGTGGAAGTGGAAGATACGAAAGCGGGTGTGGGACGTGCTCGAGGCCGAGGGCGTCGCGCGCAACCCCCGCCCCGTCCACCACCGCATCCCCAACTTCGATGGCGCCGCCGCCGCCGCCGATTCGGTCCGCTCTCCCCCCGCCTCCCTTTCGCTTCTCTCCACGGAGCCCCCACCACGAAAACTAGCACGCTGTTCTGTTCCTGTCTCCGATTGTGGTTGATGTTACCAGCCGCAAAATTGGGGAGTTCCTTTGGTCCTGCTAGTGCTATCTGACTGTTCCTTCATTATTTTTGCTTATATAACTCTGTAATGACGTGGAAATGTTTCTGAATCTCACTAGTTAGGGAGGTTGGACGTGTTTCAGAATGCACAATGCGTGAAGGTCAATCCGGATTCGCCGCAGAAGCAAGTTCGATTCTTAACACTCTCAGGTGAGTCGGCTGCCGCTTCTCCTTGCATACCTTAAAAACTTGCATGTTATTGGCTGTTGATATCTTGTTTCGTTTCTTGTATTATCCATGCAAGCCAGAACAGACTTTGATGAGGATTATAGCTTTCCATACAATTTGCCCCTTTGAACCTGATGCTCATTTTAGCCCACTACTCAGTATAAGTTTGTCATACATACTCGACCAGGTGTTTCTTTATTTACAAATGGTGCTACTGGAATCATTCAGGCGATAAGAAACTTCTGACACCGCAACCACGGCTCAGGACGGGGTTCTTCTCCGTTCTAGAATCTCAGATGATACCCACTGGATGCATTCCTGAAGCATGCACTTCTGTTGGCGCAGTCAAATATGGAAGGCCGATAGATCTAGATGAAGTGATTAAAGTGGATCTGATTGTGATTGGGTCGGTTGCAGTTGATCCAAGCACGGGAGCACGACTAGGGAAGGGTGAGGTAATTATTTTCTCGCACATGCAGTTGAAGAGCTGAACTAGAGTTGATTTTGTTATACTTGGATCAATGATCAAGATCAAATGTTGACCTTTGCCAATGTCAATACTGCTTCTTTAATGAAGAAACAGTAGGGAAAGCCTCTACTGCGCCATTTTCCTTTTATAAATGGAGAACTATACAAACAGTTATGTACAATGTCAATGCTGCCCTGAAACTGAACTGTGCTTTGTCTACCAAAAGTCGAATTTTCTCGCTTCTTATCTGTAGTTTATCTGTGAACGTTGATCGTAGGGATTTGCAGAGCTGGAATATGGGATGCTTCGTTATATGGGAGCTACAGATGATTCGACCATGGTAGTAACAACTGGTGAGTTTTATTTATGTATCAGCTGGTGATCCAGTTTGTATACAGATCTAATTGGTTTGGTAATGTAGGAACTAGGATAATTGATATATAGGTGGGCATCTTCTCATTCTTCAGCATGAGTGCAAGCTTTTTTTTTTTCTCAAAATATTTGTCAGCACTTCCTTTTTATGTAATAGCCTGTGGCTAACTGGACCTAACTTCATAGTCGTGACGCTAGAAATGGTTGAGATATTGGTGGATATTGTTTTTTATTATCCACAATCCTGCTTGTATTTCATCGATCATTTTCTTCAAAGAACCATCTATGTGGACATGCTGTGCCTCTTCTTTTCTGAAGTGGAAACAATTGGTGATTCATTAGTTTCTATTTGAAAGATTGAGTAATAACCTATCCCGTAGTATTAACTTACCATTTTGTCTACGGGTACAGTACATGACAAGCAATTAGTGGATGACATTCCAGTTGAAAAGCTGCTAATTCATGATGTACCGGTTGATATTATCTGCACCCCAACTCAGGTCATCTTAACAAATACTGCAATCCCAAAGCCACAAGGTCTGACTGATTCCTCTCGCTTGGTAAAGTTGCAAATAAATCTTCCACCACCAGATTTTGACGAACTTCTGTTTGTGCAGGGATTTATTGGGAAAAACTATCTCCCGAAAAATTGGGCCAAATTCGAATTTTAAGAGAGCTGAAGAGACGCATAGAGCAAGAGACAGGAACAATACTTCCTTGTGGGCCATCTGAGAATCTACCCCCAACAGCTCAACGAAGAAAAAGAAGAGGGCGGTAACTAAGTATGTGTATCTTAACTGATTCTATTGAATATTATACATATATTTTAGAGAAAATTAAGATATGTTAAGCATTGCGCGGTTCAAATATTGGGTCTATAAAGACTTGTTTACAAAAGGTCATACTGTTTCATCTTCTTCGTTGAGTCGGCAACATAAATGTGTGCTCGTGTGGCTGTTCCCATGGCCTATGTGACGGTCTTCGCATCCCTCTGTCCCCAAATATAAGACGCTAAAATATGAGATGTTAAACATCTTATATTTTGAGACACACGGAGTACTAGAAAACGGGTTCTATACTGTGCAGAATTCGGAAATGTTACCCAACTTGTGGCATGACCAATTTTAATTAGATCCCAATGATGTGCATCATACCTGGCTGAACTTATCTGCTGACGTGTCTGCAGATGTGTTCGCGTTGGAACAGTCAGAGCGCACATGTATCCCGGCGCTGATGCGGCATTACGTGATTGGCTCTTGCGTCTTTTGTCCTTCAAGAGAGTTGTGACCAATTTGTCGAAGTCACTTAACTAAATTGTGGTTTGCGCGGAAAAAAGAAGAAAAAGATGACAGGTTGTGAACGCTGAAATTTAAAATTCAGTGGAATGATCCAGCCACCTTATCCAAAAGTTCCCTAATTTGAACGTGTGAATGGATTGTTTGTCTCCTGTATTTCTTGGACCGTGCCCTTGAGACACTGTCTCAATCTCCCGGTCTCAGGTGTGTATAATAACGCGATCTACTCCCTCCGTCTAGTTATATGTGTACATCTAGCATTACAAATCTTATCTCAAAAAAGTGTACGGGGTGTTGCCCCGGACTGATCCGTTCAACGATAATGGCTTCATTTTTGGTGAGCCACCTTAAAGGTCCGCAAAACTGCATATCAGCGATGGAGCCGCGTCGAGCTCGGGTGAGGAGGTGATCTGTCATTCTTTTCTTCGGTGGCTGTTGTGGTGGTGCCGGATGCAGGTGACGGGCGTTGGTGTCAAGCTCAGAGATGTTATGCTATTACTTTGTCATGTGGATTTTTACAAGGCTTGTACTTTGATCTCTATAATATGAATGAGACACGTATTATCATGGAAAAAAAATCACTCCCTCACCCTATGTCCTCCTCCAAGCCCCATTCTTCTCCCACGCATAATCCCCAATCCCCATTCTCTCCTTTAATTTAATTGGTTGAGGCTAATAAGAGGAGAGAGAACTAATATGACACTCATTTTCTAAATGTACACTTATAACGAGGAAAAATATATTTGGTGCTATCGAGGCCAAGGTGCTACTGTGATTCGGGCTACTAGACTGTCAGATTCTCAAATCAGACAACTCCCAAAAACTCGACAACATTTTGAGAAAAGAAGAAATCCCCCTAGGAGTCCGAAAATAGGGTCAGCTGATCCAATAGTTTCCATGTGTCGTCCGATCTGAGATCCGACGACCTAGGATCCCGTATCATAGTAGTACCTGGGCCTTGGTGGCACTAGATATTCTCCCCTCATAACCGGACAAAGCGGGTGGTGCAGTGGTGTAATCACAAACTTTGGCACCAACACCTACTTTTGGTTAGATATTTGGCTGCATAAATCATTCGTTGCTCTATTTCCATGCCTCTACTCGCATACTATTACACCACTTGCTCGTGTGGCTCGGAGCCGCCTAACATCGAATGCCGCTACCGAGTTGTGCTCTTTGTTGTCGCTTCTACAGGACTTCCGGTGTGGCCGGAACCAGACGAGCGCTTCCTCAACGGCGGTCTACACTTCACTACAAAGGCCGCCTATGAACTGACCATGCAGGCCGACGACACCGACGCTCATTCAATGCCCATATGGTCAGCATGCGTCCGCAACAGAGTGAAGATATTTGCCTGCCTTCTATTCCATGGTTGACTAAACTCCAAAAACAATCTTCTTCTCAAGCATGTCATCTCAAACCCCCTCTCCCCAAGATGTGGGTTCGATGGTGAAGCCAACTCGCACATCTTCATCGACTGCCCGCTCGCGAAGTGAATATGGCAAAGGATTGGCTTCTCACCTACTGACACCTTCCACGAACTTTGAGATTGCTGCCTTCCTCGCCACGTGGATTCGATGATCTGGCCTCCATGCTTCTCATCATCCTATGGAAGATTTGGGATTCCAAGAATTTGTGGCCTTCAGACCACAGAACCACCACAGTGTCTTCACCCTTAAGCGAATCATTGAAGACCTGATGCTCTAGACACATCGGATGAAGGAACCAGAACAAAAACAGGCCACCTCATGGCGTTCCTATTCTCTTATCACGATTACACGTGCTTATGTAATTCACCTTTGTAATTAGTCAGACATGATGGATTATCAAATTGAGAAATATATTCAGGTGGGGAGTCCCAGCTCCGGGTTCATTTTTCAAAAAGAAAAGGAACCCCATTCATGCCAGAATTTTGTAAGGGACCTTGTCTTCCTGTCGTAGTCATATACGTGACGTATTTGACTTTGTGAAACTATTCCTATGATGATGATCTCACGTCTTGCGTTGTTTGGTCTTTTGAGTTGCACGTAAAACTGAGAGAGTGTGCATCTTGTGTTTGTATGGCTAGACAGGTGCCAGTCCGTACGAAGTCAAAAGACGTCTCTGCCGACGGAGAACTTGCGGCGGCACGGAAAGCTTGGTTTACCAAATTCGAGTTTACACTCTACTACGTACATACAATAGAAAATGAAAGTGTATCGATTTCTATTATCTAAATATAAAATATAAGAGTTAATTACACCGATGGTGCTTAAACTTGGCATAAACGGTCACTTCGGTGCTAGAACTTGCGGCATACAATGAACTGGTGCAACAACTTGGCTCGGACGTGCAAATACGGTGCTAATCACACTTGGCTACGAAATCGATGCCGACTTGGCGCGCCAGCGTGGCATAGGGCCCACTGTCAGTGACGGGAAGGCGTAGAGGAGGTCTATGGCCTTTTTTTTGCGAAAACACCCTCAAATTTTTTTATTTCTCACAGAAAGCCCCTAACAACGCGGCAGCTGCCATTTCATTTTGACTATATGACACATGGGCCCCGTCTATCAATACGTGAAAATAAAAACGGATCAAACGCCTTCGCGTCTCGAACTTAAGACCAACTGCTGTATAGCTAGCCGTCCAAACAATTCCACCATTCACGTTGCAATGAGAAACACTGATAACAATCCTTAATGTAGTACAAGAAGAACGCATCTGGGACTTCTATGAGCTGCAAATAGCGCGACACATTTTGCACGCACTGACTTTTTAATACTTTTGTAAAAAATAAGTAATAAAAATAATGTGCATATTAATGATTAATAAATAAAATTATTTAAATATACACACATGTATTATGAAAATGTCTGGTAAATACGGACATTTAAATATTTATGAAGTAAAATATTTAATTGATACAAAAAAATACACTTGTAACTTATATTTAAATTATACAAAATTATGAGTACAAACATTCATGTGGTATAATTTTCACTCGTGATTTATATTAAAAAATATTATATAATTTAAACATTACCCACGAATGAATATTCATATGAATTTTTAAATTTAAATTATGAATATTTATTTTTACGAACATTGAACTATAAAAATGTGCACATAATTATGGACATGTTTGTATGATTAGAAAATACTTTGGAATTGTAATGTTAAAATACTTGATTTGTTATTAATTATCCAAAAAAATTGGAATTCATGAATATTATTTTAAATATATGAATATTTTTAAAATAATACGTGAACAATTATGAAACGTAAGTTATTTAGTTTATGTGTATAGTATTTATACAACATGAATAATTAAACGTTATTTTTATTACTGAGATCATAATTTACATACCTTTTAAAAAGTTCTAAAAAACAGGTGCAAATGGGCCGCATCCGCATTCATCACAGTCCATTTCAGCTCCACAAGCATGTTTGTTCCGCTACATTAAGTGTATTTATCCATTTTGTGACACCACTAAATTATTTTTTATCCATCTTGTTGCAAAATTAAAAAGGCCACACGCACTCCGCTCTGCCTTCCCGTCATTGACAGCAGGGCCGATGCCACATTGGCATGCCAACTCAGCATTGTTTCGTATCCAAACATGATTTGCACCGTATTTGCACGCCCGAGCCAAGTTTTTGCACCAGTTCAATGTATGCCACAAGTTCTAGCACCAAAGTGATCGTTTGCGGCAAGTTCAAGCACCACCGGTGTAATTGACTCAAAATATAAATGAACGAAGTTTGTCACAAGTTTTTCAGAAATTCCAATTCCACCAAGAAACCAAACAATTTGCTGTCCGTGTGAACACGCTGACCACGGGACGTGAGAAACGAGTCCACCCTTTTTTCTCCCTTCCTTGTCAGTATCCGTCGGCTTCGCTTTGACTGTGAGCGAATGTTGCGTTGGGATCACACCGACGGGTCATCCCGCCGCTGAGGCTGCTCGTGGCTGTAGGCTGCCCACGCCGCTGCTGAGGTCACCACCGGGGCCGGGCGTTCTGTACTGGCACCCTCACCTCTGCGCTCGGGCTGCAAGGGGTAGCTCGCTCCGGCTCCGAAGCTGTAAATCAGAGGAGGCGCCGGCGTTCTCGGCGCCCCCGACGTCGAGCCGCCGGTGCTCGGCCGCAGGAACCTGGCGTAGTGGGAATAAGCCTGCCCTCCCAACAGAGCCTGCGACTCCAGCAGCGCCTCGGGCCGCTGCGGCGGTGGCATCGCTAATGCCGGTGCATGAGGAGGCTGCTGCGGCGGTGGCATCGCTAATGCCGGTGCATGAGGAGGCTGCTGCGGCGGCGGGATGGTGGCCGACTCGGGGAAGTTGAGCTTGGCGCGGCTGCCGCAGAATCCGAGGGCGGCGGCGTCGTAGGCACGCGCGGCGGCCTCGGCGTCGTCGAAGGTCCCGAGCCACACACGCGCCGCCTTGTGCGGGTCACGGATCTCCGCCGCCCACTTCCCCCACGGCCGCTGCCGCACGCCCCTGTACCGC